GTAAGATATTGAGGTAACTGGTTCTCTTTAGAAAGTTACATTTCAATAACAACTTAATGGTTGACATATATAATCTTTATATGCACGCATATAATGCAGATGTAATTACTATATCATTATTATTGAAATGGTGTATTATAAAGGTTTTAATATAAGACGATTTTAGAGGCTCTAAACGTCGTTACAGTTCATGATGCCACGTCTGATCATGCTCTGTCTGACGACGTTCATCTTGACATTAGCCGTGCAGCGTAATCTCCATCGTGAGGCTGTCATGTCTAAAGCATACCCCTCATTCTCCCTACTTTCAGTAATCTATCTAGTGTAGGAAAAACGGTATGTGACGGTTGAACAAATCATGGAAGCAGTTTGTGTACACCTGACTTGTGTCACTTTTCCACACAAAGATCTTTCTCGATTATGTTGCGTACTGTTACCTGGGCCGATTTGTTACAGGTCTCTTTCGGGATGGTCCTGGTTTCCCATGATGATTCTTACTCCTTTGTTTTCTAAAGCCATTAAATACAAGGAGTATTTTCATTTTTGCATATCCTGGGTCTCGGTTTAATGTTTCAAACTCCTCAACCACACACATAAAGGTAGTGAACAACCATAGTCAATAACACAATAATCGTAGCAACATCGAACATAGCAGTTCTCTATGTAGAGAAAGGTTTTTCATTTGCTCAGTTCATCAAGTGTAAGTCCCACGTTATTTATCTCAGTTATTTATTCCAACTAACTGTATGCTTTCTATAAACAATACTCTAATGTGTCACCTTTCAGCTCGAACAGAAAGCCACAACTTTCTTCTTTGTTTTACAACCTTAAGCTACGCTTTCTTTCCGTCGAAATTAATGATCTGGCTAAGACCCGAATTCTCCTCAAAAGCTTGCCATTTCTAGCTCAGACCTCATGCCAAGAAAAATACGCATATTTCACAATATTTACATTAGCTATACATAAATAAACAGAAGTGCTTCAATGTATTATTGTTAGATATTGAAAGATGGAACTAATGTGCATATAATAACATATAGATCCAAGCGCCAGTGTTATTTTAGAGCCATTTTTAACTGGTCTTTAAAGATCTTAGCTATATTAAAATAAAACAAATCTCCTCTTATTCTATGGATGTTTCTTCTGCCAATTCATAGCTACTTTACCCATTAACGTAGTTGACTAATTATCTAATAATTGTATATCACAATGTAAGTTCTCTCTCATATTTTTACACATACACACGTTTTATCTTGATTACACAGGTACGTTTGAATCAGTGAGATTACATCAATATTCTTACGAAATTTGGTGCTCTATTTTCCTGTACACAATCTCAGCAGTAATCTAAACTCTGTTTGTTTATTAAGATGCGAGATAATATTAGGATAATTTACTCTTATTTGAATCGTCGTTAAAATTGTTTTCAAATATATTTAGAACTTGTAGCAGTGACTTGTTTGTTTGTAATTAAGAACAAAGCTGCACAAGGGGCTATCGTACTTGCCCACCACGTGTATCGAAACCTGGTTTCTAGCGTTATAAGCCTTCGGACTTACCACTGTGTCACTAAGGGCGTGTAGCAGTGACATCTTTACTTAACACAGGGAAAAGTAGATATCACATATATTTTAATTCTACTTTTTAAAATCTTTTATAAAACAATAATATAAAAATGATATACAATATCATAAAAAGAAGATCCACAAAATCACTCGAGTGTTGATCAAAACAAAAAAATTCATTAATTAATATTTTCTTCGTTATGTTTTTATTTTTAAAAACATGTTATAATATTTTAACATATATTTCTCAATTCATACATTTTTATTTTATGTATGAACTATAAATATTTTTATCACTAAACAGTAATTATATTTCAATTCAAATACTATTATACAATTTTTAGTGTTTGATATGAATAAATGTTTTCTTGTATATTTAGAAAGTTTTAAATTACTTTGTTCTTCAGTTCTTGTTTGTTACATATTGATCAAATTTTTTGCCAGCTTTGAATATCTTTCATGCATCTATTTAATATTTTGTAAATAAATAGCTTACGCAGCAACATTATATTTAAATTTTGAAATGTAATCAAATATGATCATACTGTGATAATGATAATATGCATCTGATAGTATCTTTTGTAACTGTATTAAAACTTTAAATTTGTTAGATAGGTATCTCCCCAACCAATGATACCATATTGTACAACTGAATCAATTATAGATTATTACTGAGTCATCTGCAAAACTTGTTATTTCGCCATTAAAGTTAATTTTGCTTCATATTTATTTAATACTGAATTAATTTTTATAAGACAAATAAAATATTCAGAATTTAAAAATATACAAATAAGGATTGTAAAAAAAAAGTAAGGAAACAAGGCTGGAGACAGCGTAGACATTATTAACTCAAACTTCAAACCTCTATTTTGATGGAGTCAAAATGTGGATTTGTAGTTAGAGTAAATTGTGTCTGTAGTATCTCCAGCCTTGTTTCCTTACTTTTTTTACGATTCCTTTTTTGCAGGTTTGTAAATTCTGAATTTTTTATTTATCTTGTTTGCTGGCTTTTTTATATGCTCAACTATGGACAAAGGATTGCTTGATATTATAGCTAACTTTGTATATTGTAATGATAATAAACATAGCTAGTTGCTAGCTGATGCGGGTCATGATGATTTACTGTAGCTAATGACTATTTGATCACATTAGTTCAAGATGTAAAATGTTAAGCTGCAGCCATATATTGTCAGAAGTTTGTTCGAAAATATAGCGAGCATTTATAGTTTGTGTAACTAAATTCTCTATGTATAATGCATAGCAATGGACAAATATACGCCTAGACTAAGACACAACCCCACTAAGCGAGTATAAAATTTTACCAGTAGAAAAGCAGCCTTTTCAAACAAAACATATACGTCTAAAACATCGCTTTAAATAAACTTTCGTGTATTTTAAAGTAATTATTCTAATAATATGTGTAATAAAATTTAATATTATGTGTATTGATTTTTTTTACTCCTTCACTTCATACAGAAATAAGAATTGGTTCCTTAAATGCATCGATTATATAGTGTACAAAGCATTGAGTATCTAAATATTACAGGCCCCCCCATGTTATATCACTATTAAAATTCATTTCATTTCGCAGAAATCGGTATGTCTACCGAGTTACAACGCTGGAAACCGGGTTTCGATACCCGTGGTGGGTAGAACACAGATAGCCTATTGTATAGCTTTGTGCTTAACTTCGAAGAAATTATTAAAAAAAACATTTAATTTACAAGTATATTAGTTTTATACTGTGTTTATTGATTTACAAGTATATTAGTTTTATACTGTGTTTATTGATTTACAGGTATATTAGTTTTATACTGTGTTTATTGATTTACAGGTATATTAGTTTTATATTGTGTTTATTGATTTACAGGTATATTAGTTTTATACTGTGTTTATTGATTTACAGGTATATTAGTTTTATACTGTGTTTATTGATTTACAGGTATATTAGTTTTATACTGTGTTTCATCTAAATGGTCCATATTAAAGCAGTTTCAACATTTTTTTACTTTTAACTTCATTTATATGTTTATATAAAATTAAATAACCGCATTTACATATAAATCGGGTTGTTCAGTAAAATTAATATATTTATTATCTACTGTAATACTTTCAAAGTTTTCAAGTGGTAAGTCTGCAGGTTTACAACGCTAACAATCTGGTTTCGATTCACCTTGTGAAAAGAGCATAGATTGTCCATTTTGTAACTTTGCGTTTCACAACAACCAAAGTTTTCGTTTTCCGCGTATTTTTACTATTTCCCTGTCATCTCAATTATTATGTCCCTCCGTTTTTTAATACCAGTTTTACTGTGAATTGCTTTTTGCTTACAATAACTCCTATAATTTTTAAATTCATTATAAATTGTTAATTTATAATTTCCATACATTTTACATATTGGTTGAATAGCTTGTAACAATCCATTTGTTATCTGTGGTTTTAAATTTTTTCTCTGTTTATTTTTACATTTCCTGTAGATTATGTAATTATATTTTCTAATGAAATCTTTATATGCATCTTATATATTTAATTTTTCATAAATACTACTCAAATACGTTTGTTCTATTACTCTATGAACCTTTTTTGTAACTTATTTTCAAAACTTCATTATTATTGCTTTTATACATAATTTATTTCTGTAATTAGCTCGTGTTTTTTTTTAAATCAAAGCTATATGCTGTGTCCACCGAGGGGAATCGAACCCCCTGACTTTAATATTCTAAATCCGTAGACTTACCGCTGTCTCAGAGGGGTACAATTGTAATTAATTTTTAGAGCTGTATCAATATGGTCTGTAATTATAGTTTGTATGATTGCTGTTTGTATAGAATATACTTTATCTGTGATAAAGACAAGCACTTGACTGTTGTTAGTAGTTTGTAAACAAGGATAAAAATCGAAAGTAGATTACATATTTTTATATTACTTTCTCCATATTTTATATTTATGTCTCTTATAATGTATACATTTTATTTTCCCTTAAAAGTCCTTTAGTTGTTTAATATAAGCTTTTACACTATACCGATGAGATCTGAAAACTGCTACACTATTTAAATTAGTATTTTTATACGTACAATATATGCTTACTACATCAGCTGCTATAAATTCAGTAATTACTTCTTATACACTTGCCCCCAGTGGCACAGCGGTATGTCTGCGGACTTACAAGGCTAGAATCCGGGTTTCGATACCCGTGGTGGGCAGAACACAGATAGCCCATTGTGTAGCTTTGTGCTTAATTACAAACAAACAAACTTATACACTTAATCGCAAAATTTCCATCCGCTTCCGAGTTACACTATGGTATGATATCGGTGTAAATCTGTCTTCCGTCTTATCACGGCTTTCCTTGATTCCAATGTGTCTCCTGTCTTGCTTCCATGTATGATCTTATCTCTTTTCGCCACGTTTCCGTAATTCCTTGAACTTGTTATTTCTTAGCTGTCTTCGTATACGTTTCTCACTTAGGCTTCATCATACAGGGTGTTGTTAACAGCCACGAGTCAAAAAAGATTGTGTGCCTTTATTCGATCTTTTTATTTTATCATATTTTCAGCTCGACAGATCCTCGAAGGACAACAGGCAGTTGTCGAAACACAGGTCAGTTTAAAAAGTTTAAGATTTTAACTAATATTGTTTATAACGTATGCTAATTGTTTTCATGATAAAAGAGCTCCCCCCCCCTCCCCACAGTGGCACAGCGGTAAGTCTGCAGACTTATAACGCTCGAAACCGGGTTTCGATACCAAAGATGGGAACAGCACAGATATCCCATTCTGTAGCGTGTAGCTTTGTGCTTAGCTTCGATACCAAAGGTGGGAACAGCACAGATATCCCATTGTGTAGCGTGTAGCTTTGTGCTTAGCTACAAACAAACAACCATGATTAAAAAACGTAAAATCACTTGAAAGTGAAACAAACCGCGAACCTTTTCAAACAATGTCAAAATACTCGGTGGTTTATTGTTTCTCTGCAAATACATTGATTAAAACCTGTCAAACATTCTTGGTTGAGTGTTTAAGAATTTATGCCACATATTCAAATATAAATATCATTGTGCTAGTATATTGTTTTCGAAAGCATTAGTTTCAGAGTTGAATTAAAGATTACTTATTTAATTAATTAATTGAAGTTTATAACAGTAATATATTTCTTTCAGATCGATGTATGAAGTGAAAACCAGCTATGAATCTATGATAAACCAAAAAATGTCCACGTTTATTGTTCTCAGTTTAAACGATATGTCCCAGAAGATATCATTCACATTAAAAATATCAAGTAATTTATAATCTAGTGTGATGTTTAAATTTAATGTCATCATTCACAGTAAAAATATCAAGTAATTTATAATATAGTGTGATGTTTAAATCTAATGTCATCATTCACAGTAAAAATAAAGTAATTTATAATATAGTGTGATGTTTAAATTTAATGTGTAAATAGTTTTAATCCCATTAACTTAGAAAACATTTTTTCGTTGTACCTTCTATTTTTTAAAAACATAGTTATGTTTCATAAGTTCATATAGCTGTTTTAGCTATGAAGTTTATAGCCCTTTAATTCAATTGTATGGAACCACTACTTTCGGTTAAAGGAGACCAAAAAATCTAAAAATTAAATTCCCGTCTTTCATCAAACATTTTAATCCGATCTTTATTTGCTATCAAAAACAACATCTAAATCTCTGTAACTATTAATACACTGAATTTTAGATCATATGGTTAATATGCACTTTATGATACTATATTTATATTTTAGTTTTGTATTTATAGCGAACTTCAAGCTGTCAAAGTTTGACGTGTGACATCGAATCCTCACTATGATGAAAGTAACATTAGTCGTACTGTTGCTCATGTCAACCTACGTCTGCAGAACAGCACAGGACGGAATTTGGACTCAACTCATTTTCACATTAGTGAAGAATTTAGCCACGTTAGTTACCAAGCATTTTTACTTTAAGTTATGTTCATAGAATTATTGTATAGCTCTGGAAATAACTACTGTTCATAGTTGATTTTCTAACCTGCTTTATTGTATAAGTAGATACTGTTTCGAGTTGATTTTCTAATCTGTTTACTTCTGTAAATGACGTCCTCATCTTATAACCCTGGTGAGAACTCTATATCTAATTATCTATGTGTGTGTTTATGAAGAGATTATAAACATTTATAACTGAAATATTCAGAACTTTTAGTTCGCTATTGTATACTTTTACGTGACAACCTAACTCTCATCCCTTCCGCCATATTAGATAGTTATCTTACTTTACTTACCTCTTCCAGTGATGGATGTCCACGAGGGACACCAGAATTTTCCTTTGTATTTCCACTTCAGGCGTCGGAAAGTGGGTTTAATTCGATAATGACATTCATGGTCCAGAAACTGAAAATCTCCACTCTGCCAAAGTCTGTTTAAAATAGAAAAATTACAAGTATATTATTTATCAAATTCGTAATAAACGTGTGTAACACATTCAATCTTTGAGAATATTTCTCACTACACATATACGTAATGGCATTTATCTGCCATTGTTCGACAACAACAGTTAACATTATGTACACAAGGTGGCTGATATCTCTTTCCACATCAGTACCTGTGTTTTGTTCCATTAGAAACTAGCTGAGAATATCACTTAAAACGATGCAATATACGGTGTTAAATATACATATACCTATGATTTATTGTTTTATTATCACTGTGGTTTATTCAACATATTGATGGTTACATCTATTACAGTTCCTAAATGGGCCAGCGGTATTCGTTTTACACACGCACACAAACATTTATTACACTGTATAAGGTTTCTGTGGGATACACAAGTGTAGAATCTTTGATTATTTCTTAACGTTTGGTTGTTGTCTGTCAGAGAAACTATCCATGGTTTTTCCATATTTGTAGGTGTGAAACCTTTAGTAACATAACGCAGCTGACTGTCTGCTATTTTTTCATATACGTCAGTATATAAAATCATTCTATTAAGATACAATAAAACCACTCCCTTTTGTTATTATGTATAGATTGTTGGTTAAGAGAATTTAGCTAAGGTGCGAAAAACGTTTTCATTTACTCAGCACCTGTTGTATAAAATTAACGATATCGTTATGTAACGTTTTGAAAGTGCTTTCAGCAAAACCTATTGAGCGATAAGAACACTAGTCGGTAATTTGAAGATGAATATATACGACGTAGAGTCATGACTCTTTAAAAACACATACTTAGCTACTTGTAACCGAACTAATAAACAGCATCATAGATTAATTAACTACTTTATAAACATGCTAATGAAATGGTGAACACTATAGATAAATACTGTAACTCAAAGTCAAGATCGCATCAATGCTGAATTAGGAACTATGAATATCTGGAACTAAACTTATTGTTTCGTGCTTACTACATAGATCCCTGGTGAGTCAGTGGTAAATTTACGGATACTAAAATCCGAAGTTCAATTCATCACGGTCAACAGATTACATACAAGCTATTGTGTAACTTTACTCTAAAAAGTAAACAAAAAATTACATCATTTGACAGTTATGCTCTACGCCAGTCTTTGACGTTCTAGAATACGTCATCACATCTAAGGAAACCCAGCAGAAAAATATGGAGAACGTCGAGAAAAACTGCATTTATACTTGCTCGTTTCGAGTTCCAAGAAGCATATAGCATACTTACACAGTCAAGAGTGTTTCTTGGCGAAGTACTGTACAACAAGAGTATTTAAATAATACAAAGTTAAGCATTAAGGATTATATAGGAAGGAAACAAGTATTCTAGAGAACATATTTCACTCCTACACTAA